GATCGGCATCTAGATCCCCAGTAAGACCAAGTCGCTGTACATGATCCCCTTACGTGTTCAATCACTGTCTCCACTGCAGGATGTGAAATGAGGACACCTGGTGGACAGGTGCAGAACGACAGCAACAGAGAAGCATCAGCAGAAACATCTACAGATCTGAAATACATGATACATAAATCCTTCATACATGTCACGTGATGTTTCCTTTGAAACAAACACACATTTTTCATATTTAAAGCTCTGATTAAACTCCTCACTGAATCTCTAAGGCTTGGTGGAAACATAAACTGAAGGCTCTCAGAGAGCAGTGCATGATGGGAACTTTCTGCTAATCTAAAGTTCAATACAAACTTTATTGAACTGTAATGATCATTTGTAACATATACCACGGAAACCAACTCAAATGGACCACTTCCTGTTTCAAACTATTGATAGAGATTAAGGACACCATCACACCTCCTCTGCTCAACATAATGATCAGTTCCCTTTCCCCTCGGGTGTGCTTCCTCTTTTAGAGATATCATTCACTGCAACAGCTTTTCAGGAGTCAGACATTGGATCCATGTTACTAAAGGAGGAGGCGGAGCTAATGCCTGCTCAGAATTCTAGCAGCAAAAAACTCAGCTAAATTAAACGCCATATCATGTTCCAAACCACATCAAGGATTCTCTCTGAAACAGTATGGAGCTCAAAGGCTTTCTCTCTTGCCGGTTATACCACAAGGTGAGTTCCTTTTTACTTCCTGCTTCTTCACACACATGCTCTCCAGTACAGGTTAGCTCTGAGTGTTAGCCATGCTAATGTAAACACCGACCATATTACGTCCAAAACAGTCGGTCATTGTTTCTGATAGCAACGTTTCTGATAGGGCCGTGGGTCCACATTTCAGATATTACGTCATATCGGACGCAAATCTGGATCAGCTCCGTTGTTCCCCTGTTTTTAGAGATTTGGGTACGGAGGAAAAGAGAGAGGGTTTTATTTCCTGACGCTGCGTGAGTTCCCCGACACACCGGGGACACATTGATGTATCAAAGACATCACAAAGTGCACTTCGCATGATAGGTCCCCTTTAAAACCATCGGAACCATCAGGCGTTTAAGAACAGGGAAGATATTCGATGCAGTGTGAGTAATAAGTGAAGATGGAAACAGGTCTTGGATCAGGTAGCATCAGTTTATTGTTGTAAATGCATGAATTAAAATATGCTCCACAATGTGAACACATCATGACCCAGAATGCAATGCACTTAGTTAAGCGTTTAACAACATTGCTGCTATTGAATGCAGACTTGGTGCAATAAAAGGCCGACGGGTTGGTTTTAAATCTTTAAAGTTCCTTATGATATATTTATTTAACGAAGCCTTGGTGAGATTTAACGGCTTTTATTCGGTCACGGTCGTTCACGCAGGAAGTGGTGTTAGTCGTCCAGGAAGAAGTAGTTTCCGCTCTTCTTCTGCTCGGTGTCCTGCGAAGGAGAGAGAGGGAGAAGTTAGGTTTCTTTAAATATAAAAGCATGTGAGCTTTACAGGAACCATCACCGTCCTGTTGGTGCTCAGAGAGAATAACAAGGACACATCAAGAGAGAAAGGGGGTCAAAGGAGACTGACATCTGATGTTTAAGAGAGGGAGGAAGGATATAGGAAGGAGGAGTTAAGGAGAAGTGAGGGTGGAAGGTAGTGAGGGAATATTTAAGGAAAGGAAAGGGAGGAACATCAAAGTGGGAGGAAGGAAATCTGAAGGGCAGTAATCTGATGGTAAAGGCAGATATAAATAAAGGAAAGGCAACCAAGGAAAGGAAGGGAGTAATGGGGGAAGGTAAGGAAGGAGGAGAGAGGGGAAAAGAGACAGACATGTGGTAACAGTGAGGAAAATAAAGGTGAAGAAGGAAAGGAGGGAAGTGTAGATGAGCTAGACCAATGATCTGGAAACCTCTGAATTCGCCCTGTTTGTGTTTCGACTCCTAAATAAATACGTCGTATAGATATAACGTGTTGTTGTGTCTACCTTGATGGAGTTGTGTGTGTGTGTGTGTGTGTGTGTGTGTGTGTGTGTGTGTGTGTGTGTGTGTGTGTGTGTGTGTGTGTGTGTGTGTGTGTGTGTGTGTGTACCTTGATAGAGTGGGCCTTGTTGATGCGAGGCCTGAAGTTGTTGGGGTCCCGTCTGAAAGTGATTTCCAGCAGCGACAGGAAGCGGTTCATCCCGGC